TACAGAAGGGCAATCAATGAACAAAAGACAAATAAATAAGAAACATTGATCCCCAAAAAACAGGATCTACGTCTGAGGGAGAACAGAACTTGCTTCTTGCGAGACACTTGATGTGAAAACAATTTGATATGAAGACAAGCTTTTGGTTTTGAAATTTCCTACATGAGGCATTTGCCTGAATGTAGTTACTGCCATATGTAATAAAAGTGAGTCAAGTGTTCCTGAGACAATATACCTCAAGTTAAATGAAACCCATTTTTCAGACATTTCAAGTATTTTAAATAATATTTATACTTTTATTATTCAAAGATTTGGGAAGTGATTCCCGATTTTTTTTGAAAAAAAAAGTTGAATTTTATGAAGAATCTGGTGCAATCTCATGCTCTCAAATAGACCTGCCGAGTTATTTATTTTTAATACATTGCAAGTCAGGTTATTTATTTTCAAACTACCACAGAACAAACCATTTATTTTTGTGATTATCAAGGCTGAGTTATTTATTTTCAAAATCCTCCTGCCCCCCCCCCCCCCAGAATATCAAATGGTCGTCCCCTTAGTGAGCAAATTTTAACATTATAACTGTACATAGTTTTAATTGATAGATTATTCACTCTCAAAAACAATGTTCTTTCAATTGATGAATTGTGGTCAGTGCATGTTTATCCGATATTCATTAATATATCATACATTATCTCTGATATTTATTTTAATCTTATGCACATTCTTGTGCGTTGCAAATATTCTATCTTTAGAATAAGCAATTCTTCTTTTATATATACACTAACACACAATATAATTGACAATTATGTATATCACTTGACCGCGCTCTGTTTTGAAATAATGGGAACGCCTGCCAGAGGAAATAGGTCATAAATAAAATTCAAAATACCATTATCAACACACAAAACTTTATACACACGGAAAAAACATAAAGAAGCTGAGGTATGTTTATAAATTAATTAAGCTATTACATTTTTATAATTAGCCGTGTATTACTTATGTTTAAAGGACAATTAATGAATTCTTATTCTCTTTTCGATGGAATTTTGGTGCTGTTTGATATTAAAACATTGAATGATATATAAATTACACAACAAAATATACACGAAATCATACAACGAAATGATCATTATTTGATATGTATCACGTGTATAACAACTGAAAGTACAATGTATACTCTATTGCATGTTCATATAGAAATAGTTATGAAAAAACAATGACAAATGCTCATGCAACTGAGATACACATAATATATGTGTAAAAATATAACAAACTGGTATTGCATAATTGAAATCTTTTAATGCCTGCAAGTGAGAAAAAAGTATCAAATCATGAGAATACAGCAAAATGTATATAAAAAAAAACAATTCTGCAGTCTAGTGTAAAAAGCTATCAAAGATATATATATATATATATATATATACAAAGATATCCCGGATAAAGTTTAACATGTTTAAGTAATTCATGATCTTTTTATTATATATCCTATTTTTATATGACTTACATTTAACCATACATTTGACAATAAAGACATCAGTATAAAGTTTATCAAATAAAATAGCCACAACCAGTACTCATATAAGAGTCATATAAGAGCTGTTATGCAAAGTTTTAACTATCGTGCATAAAATTTTATTACATGCATTATATTTTAGATCAATTTCGAATCTCATGATAGAAATATCCCAAGATCAAAGACGGTGGACCTTGAAGACTTTTTAGAGAAACTTAAAAACACTCATCCTAAGCAAAGGGATGCGGGATATAAAAGGTATGCTCGTTTTTAAGTCTAATTCTAATAACTTTAACATTACTTTATGTCATATCAATATGCATTAACAAATGAATCACGTTATTTACAAGATAAAATAGAATTGTGCAATACAAAGTTCAATTTATTTCTCATAACAATACAACGATACATGTTTTGTTCTGAAATGTGAATGAAGACAGAAAGTAGGTTTATCTATTCAACAGAAAAGTAAGCGCGTATTCTGTTAAACATGCCTCATCGGGAGTAGAATTTGAATAAATCTAGTATTCCCTAACTAAAGAATTTTGAAAGGCTGATTTAGAAAGCAATACTGATTTTTTGTTATCATATCTATGTGCAGATTCAACGCCAAATTCCACAGCGACATTATGCTTCAGTGTAGGGACGACAGCAAGCTTCAGTGTAGGAACGACATCAAGCTTCAGTGTAGGAAATAGACCCATGCTGAGAGTAGTGAACAATGATAGACTAATACGCTATCATTTGTAAAGTTGTTCAATCAATGAAACAGTTAAATTAAATCATTGAAGGTTGATCTGATTTTAATTCTGAAAAAGCCTGACGGAAATATCTCATGTTGTCTTAGTGCATAAAGCTTTTACTTGAATGTGCCATCAACATAACCAAAAATAAGGAACGGAAAAGGTGGCAATCGCAAGCCATAATTCGTAGACAAACAGACAGCACCATTGCCAACATTAATAGACGAGACACAGAAAGCTAAAGATTCACCGAATTAACCCCCCCCCCTTTTTTTAAGACAGTTAGACGTCATTTCATTTGACTGAAAATACGTCATAATGACGTCGCTGTTACGTCTTTTTATGTAATGTTAGGTAAAGTATGCAATTTTAAGGTCAGTAATAGGTCGTAGTGACGTCGAAAATTATGTCAGGAAGACGTATTTGATACCATCCATTTCTACGTAAAAATTACGTTAGTTAGTGACGTAAACGAGACTAAAAAATACTTTCAAATTACGTTGTACTGACGTAATTGTGTTTGCTGGGTAAGGCGTTCCTGCCCAGAATTACTCTACGTCATGACGTCACACATAACAACCATTGAAGAAGCGCCGCAGCAGACGAAAAAAAAATGCAAGTTTATCAGAAGGAGATATCAAGAATTTGATATTAAATACAGATGCTAAAAATACAAGAAAGCTAACGCATCAAGCTGTGAAGTTGTTCAAAGAAAATTGATATTTTCAACTACATGTTGAAACTCTTGCAAAATACAATTTAAAAATACACAGAAGGAACATAGAAGTCCATTTTTCTCATACATTATTTACATATGTTAAAAATACCTTAAGGACTTTTGGCGAGGTCAATACGTTATATATGGACCTGTTAGATTATAATGACACTCGTAATTCGTCCTCGGTCAATATAATCTGAACAAGTCCATATATAACGTATTGATCTCGTCCGAGTGTCAATATAATCTAACAGGTTCATATATAACTTATTGACCTCGTCAAAAGTCCATAATTGATAAATATTGACTAGATACATTAAAATATGACTAAATACATTAACATATTACTAGATACATTAAAATATGACTAGATACAAAAAAGACAATCCATTTAAAATCCAAAGTTTAATAGAGAATAAAGAATTGTGGTATGAAATACCTGATTGGATAAAAACTATCAATTTGAAAAAGACTATTTAAGTAGTTATATTTGTTCCTTTAAAGATATTACAAATATCATTAAAGAACTTACTTTTTGTTTTTGATTCTCTTTTTTTTTTGTTATCAGTAACACATAATACATTTGTCAAGAACTATAGTATAAGAAAATACCATGCGGTCATCACTTGCAACAACTAATATTAACCATCAAGGACAAAACACACAATTTCAGCCGCTATAACAACAACAATGTTATGTTTATAAAACCCAAAATGCTGTTGGGACAAGATATAATATTTATCACGAATAAGGCTTCTTTTTGCGAACAACATCCAATGTATGTGATAAAATACTCCTCACAAAATTAAAATTAAAAATAAGTTAAAATTTAAATGAAATGCCTTCAAACATACATTTTAATATCCTGTTTGACATAAAAAGGATTTATACTATTTATACGAAAAAAGTAATAATATACATATTTACTTATCAATATCATTCTATCAACTGATATACGATATTTTCCACACTCGTTGTTCCTTGGTACTCAAACGCAACTTTTCAAATACAAGGCCTGTTGATCATTTGATTTTTTTTTAGACCTAGAGTTAATATATATCAGTTTAAATTCATCATAATATCAATCACGATAAAAGATGCGTCTACACACGATTTATTAAAAACGATGATCAAAGTTGGCATGCAATTGAATCAGCAATCATGTTTTATTATCTTTTGTATCATGTAATGTTTTCCTAAACTTGATAAAATGGCTTCGACCATCTTAAATTATTGAGAACGTACATTACTACCCATAAACTACCATTTGTATTTCAGATACCTATTATACTAAAAAAAAGTCGTGAAATCGTTAATTATCAAAATCACAGTAACTAGTATGTGAATAAGAGTGAATACATCAAAAAGTAAATCTATTTTGGGCATCTCAATTCTTTCAACAAGTTGGTGTACTTTTAAATTGCAATCGAAACAATGACTATTTGTTCTCTTTCAATTAGTAATTCAGATATATCTTTAAGTTCGTGAATTTCTGAAATATCAGGAGAAGTTCTACCTTTATTATCTCGCTTATTTATTTTTACATGATATTGTTCTAGTAAATTGTTTTGTCATTCATGCGATGTGTAAAGGAGTTGATCCATCTTCGTTTTGATGATTTGGACTAGCGTCATATTTTATTATTTCTTTTGCAATTTCGTTATGACCATTACTTATAGCTAAATAACACGGAGTGTAACACTTGACATTTAGCTTATTTATACATGTATCTATAAAGGCAACAGTAGTATACCGCTGTTCGAAATTCATAAATCGATTGAAAAAAAAAAAATCCGGGTTACAAACTAAAACTGAGGGAAACATATTAAATATAAGAGGAGAACTACGACACAACAGAAACACAACATTAAAATGTAACACACACAGAAACGAACTATAATATAACAATGGCCATTTTCCTGACTTGGTATCTATATTATGTTGACAGGTTCAAGGATTCAATCTGTCCAGACTGACATGCAAAATGAAACGGAGTATTACCGTTTTATATAAAAAAAAAAAAAAAAACAATACACGTTGGCTTTATTGTCAAGTAAAAGAGAAAACACTATGACGTTGTTTTTAACACAAGACTCAAGAATCAGAGAGGATTCGAATGCATTTAAAACGTTGATGTTAACGTCCTTGTGAGAAGAAACTGTATCAGCTCGATGTAACCTGAAGAACAAACTTACATAAGTGGTGTTACTTTATTGGTATTCATTTGATTAACTTCGGCATTAAATTTGATTTATTATTTAGCAACAACTGCATTGCCATTCGAACAAGTAATATGAAAAGGAGTTTTACCAGTGTTGTCTTAAGAATTTACCTGTGACTTATAATTTTTTAAAGAAAAAAGAATTAGAAATTATTGTATTCAAAAAGTAATGTAACGTGCAACGAATTTCGGTCGGTCCTTTTTGGACTTAGTTTGCTTATGGTCGAACAATATGACGGACTTTTTTCTTTGCTGTTATAGATAACTAGTAATCCAAAATCTATAAAACAAAGATATAACGAGACCCTAAGTTCATTCATTTCTTTCTCGATGATTTCACAAGGATATATAAAATAATCATTATGTGGGTTTTTCTTGCATTGAACTCCAATATTGTACAAAAATCAATAGAAGGTAATTTACAAAACCTTATAACTTATCATGAAGTGACTTGGTTTCTTCTTCAGAAACATAACAAATACATATTTACAGTCGTCGCATCTCTACTGTTGTCAAAAACCTTTCATTTGTCAACATATCGCAGTGCATATGAGGAAGTTTCAGTAAACTGAATTTTTCATTCCTGTAGATATATGATCTACATGTCAATATCAATTTCGTTTTCAAACTCTGGCTTACAATTTGATAGATTAAATCTGCATTTGCTCTCCAAGTCTGCAAACTATCTTCGTTTAAAGAATTCTTCCCTACGATATCATCTATCACGAATATTTGTTTTTCTTTTATATTTATAGACTCAATAAGTTTCACTGGATTTGATACAAAACATATATTATAGTTGTCTGCTTCTCCAAGTTTCATGACAGCGTGATATAAAAATGATGTTTTCCCGCACCCTGGTGGTCCTGAAATAACTGTTATCTTAGCGTCTCTTAGAGTTATATAAATGCACAAAAGTACTTTTGTATTTATAATGATATCTGTTTGTGTCCCTTCTTCTACATGATCTAAATGAATTTGCTGTTCTGAAAGTATACGAAAAAATTATGATTTACATTTAGCTATACTCAGTAAAGTTTGTAAATATTTCATTATGTGCATCCTTGTGTACATACATTTTAAAATTTGAAAAGCAACAGTTCATAAGTTATTACCCGTAAACAACATAAAATGCAATTTATGTTGGCCTATCAGTCCCAGAGAGTATCATCATCTCAGTAGTCAGTACTTTGGTACTGACATGATTTATAACAAAACTTTCTAAAATTGTCCGTTAATTACTTTTGAAATTATAAAGAAACTAATGTTTAATCTCCCTCAGTCAAAGTTGATCTTAGATGGATTTTGCTATTTTTTAGGTCCTTTTTGGTCATATAATTCTTCAACTGTGTCGGTTCTTATACATCCTTAGCTTTCAAATATTTGGCTTTGAGCGTTCCTGATGAACGTACATCCAGAAAAAGCACTTCAGATGCATGAAATTTATAACGTGCTGTTTTCATTCCAATACATTAAGGGTGTATTTTCTTAACCTGATTTTTGGGTTTATATGACTGTAAAAAAATAATTGGTAAGAAAAATCTTATGGTGGTGCACTTCTTTTTTTGCTACGGCCGTATGAAAGTACCCAATTTTTATGATTTTCCCATTTTTCATCAATTTTTACCTATTTTTGGGCTGTTATCGTAAAAAAAATTCACAGTATCACAATTAAACTTTTTTTCACACTTTCAATAAAGATGAAGTGGACCAATCTGAATAAATTTAACTAAAAAAAACTATAGGTAGGTGTTAATATAAGAAAGTTTTATCATATTTTGATGCTTGTTTGTGTCAAATTTACCATGCTGTCAATTTTGTAAGTTTGTGATTTTTCTCAGTTTTAAGAACAAAATGCATATTATTTCAACCTTTTTGTTATAAATGATTGAAGAAATACATATCTAAGAAATTTGAAAAGAAAAGAATGATATGGGATGTACATGATTCTGGTAAAATCATTTTTTGTACCCCTCACTCATTTTCTCAAATTTTTGGCTAAAAAGACTGACTTGATTGGTCGTAAAATTTGAAAAATTTATTACTCAAAAGCTACTAATTGTAAATACACAATGTTTTACAGAGTTAAGTTTAATTATAACATTTTTAAATTTCATTGATATTTTCCACTTGTATCACATGTTTTGGAAATAATTCCAGAACGAGATTTCAACGAGACTGAAACGTCAGAAGAATACATCCTTAAGGACCAAACATTTTGAAACTCCTGAAGTAAACATGAAAATCGTCAATATTGAATTCGACATCCATGTTGTCATCAGTAAAAACATATTACATAGGAAAAGAACTGATTGAAAAGTTCAAAGCTATTAAAAGGAAATGTCATAGAACGCTATTTTCCGAGTAATTGCACGGAAATGACACGAAGTTCCATTTTCCAGCCTATTAAGGACCTTAATTTCTGACCGGGAAAGATGGAAATTGTCTATATCGAATGTGGCCTCCATTTTGTCATCGATCAGTGACTTCATAATAGAATTATAACGGTTCATAAGTTGTTGCACGGAAAATGACATAAAACGCTATTTTCATTTCAATCTATCAAAGACCCTTGGTTCCTGAATTTGAGTTGCATTTTGTCATCAGTCACAACACTAAATCATTAGTTGAACAGTTATTGCATGGAAACTGTTGGCAGCCGCCTACTCGATCGCCCAACTGCAGTACTTCACAATTTCAACAACCGGAATTTTACTTTAAAAAACCCGGTTGAAGATATACATGCATATGCATACTAAGATAAAAAAAAAATAACAACAACGAATAAGACACGGTAACTAAACTGAAAAGGCAGACCATTTGATACGACTTAATTGACTTAACATGCGCACACTCTTCACATTTGACGATATTGGTTGCTTAACCAGTTCCCTTATACTGCAATGTAGATGTATTTAAGTAGGAAATCTGCTTTTGCAGATCTGTAGATGCAAGGACACCACAAACACCGAATAACAAATTAAAGGAGCAGGTGAACAGTAGCAATATATTTTGATAAGTTGTCACTGAAATCAAAGTAAGAGGATCGTTTAAAGTTACAAAAACACGTGTTGTACAAAATTCTTTTTCTGCTTTCAAAGCCATTTTGATAAAATAATATACATTGCCATTAAATACCATTCAATTCTCTGATAATGGCATTGACAACTAGGCAATGTTGAATTCAGACGGTAGAACAAAAATTTTACTATTATATTATCCCGTTTTGTGGATTCACTAAGCGTACAAATGAAGTTCCACCTTACTTACTTTTAACGACTGGCTTTTCAAAATGTGGTGTATGGACTTCTTCAATAAAAATTCCTCGGGTGTGCTGTAACTCTATTTTGTCAAATAAAATAACACATGTATAAATGTTAATCATTTGTCTATTAGTCATTGAAGCAAAACATTGTTTGGTCTCTTTTAGTATAAGGAATAAAACAAAGACAACAAATTCTTAACTGCATGCAACATGAAAGTTGCCCGTGTTTTTACTAGCTCAATCACTTTTACTTTTATTTTTGTTTTATATTCCTTCTCAAACGTTTATACATTAGCTTCCTAAACTTGGGTTTAAATGAATGTTTATATGCTTAAAATTTTTTTTTCGAAGAGTCTTCCCATCAGATGGATAAATATTTTTTGTCGACTAGTCCCGACTATGACTTAATTATTTGCCTCTGTACGTGATGCGATACTATTCCTTTTCAAATTAGGATTGCATCATACCTTGGAAAACAATTTTGTTTCTAGTTAATTCGTGTTCTCTACCTGTACATAGTACCTACAAACAAAGCTTCAAAATTAAACGTAATGCATTTCAATACCTACTATATTTCACTATTTATACTTACTATTATCTACTGTAACTAAATTGTAACATATCAATAGAGTGGCAACTATAACTACAATATACAAAACAGTATATTAATCATATATTTTACACTATTTTTATAGCACTATTTTATAGATAAAGAGATATTCCGTCGTATCCAACAAACAATATATATGTTATCTTAAAAACAAAGTTGAAAACACTCCGATTAGCCATTACAACATAGAAGTGAGATAGATGGCTGACTTATTGTCTAGTTTTTAAGTTGAGTTTTGAAAAGTAATTATAAAAGAATTTCTAAAAAAGACTTACATGTAAATATCAGTTCAAATTGTTCATAGTGAAAGGTCATTTTGCGTAGAAAAATCCAACCGCAACACTGTAACTGCCTATTTAATGGCAGTTACATGGTAGTAGCTGTTAAAAGTTTTTTCCCTTTTGTTAATGGCCTGTAATCTTTTCCCGCATGAAACGATTTATTTCGTTTCAAACTGAAAGGTGAGAGATATGAGAAAGTGATACAAAAAATTCTTTCTTTTCAGCTGACCTGTCCTTCAATGTAATACGAAATTGCGACAGTTTCATTGGCTGTTTTTAGTGCGGTGACCAATGACATAATACTTTGGGTTTATTTTCACAGCCTACAGATCCCTAGATTATATAACATTGGAAAGAAGAAAAATTGTAATACAAGAATATGCCTGTACTAAGGATCAGAAATGGTCCCAATTTTTTCAAACTATGGTCAAAGGTCAACTTCATAAAGTTTGCATCTCTATGATGTTAATTAAAAAATAACTGATCAGAACATGTACAGGCTTGCAAATGTGCTTGTATCTTGCATTTTTTATTTTCCGAATTTGCTTTTCTTTTCCGTAATTTTTCGTTTTCAATGCTTTTTAACTCGTGGCTTTTTGGCTCCTACTGTTTTAGTTCAAGTTGATGCAACTTATGTAGACACAACTGTCATCCGGTATGATCCTTTAGTGATGAACATGTAGAAAATATACAATTTTTGAGCGACTTTATCTGCCCTTACAACGCAATAACGAGTTAACAGATGATATAAAAAATCGTATATCCTGCTTATTTTTATCCGAACTCTAAACGTATGCTTTTAAACCCTATTGCTGCCGGAGGGACACATGTGTCCACACCGACTGTGCCGATGGGACACGTGTGTCCATGTTTTAATTTATGCAAGCTTCTCCTCATTTCTGTGTCTTTATCAAGTAAAAGACCAAATATTAAACTGTGTAATATTTTTCTTCAATGGGTCCCAAATGTAACGGTCATGTTGGTGTGACGTCACATATTGAATGACGTCATTGTTGGACATCTGACGTCACAAACGTCGAGGTGTCATATTTTCTGGCACACGAAATGCAACCTTGAAAAACAACTGGCAGCAAGAGGGATATATAAGAATAAGAAGATGTGGTATGATTCATTGCCAATGAAACAACTCTCCACAAGAGACCAAATGACATAAAAATTAACAACATTAGGTCACCGTACGGCCTTTAACAATTTAGTTTAGTATGTGTACATATTTTACGGTTTTACTAGCCAATAAAAGTTTACATCGAAGCTTTACACAGTCATCAACATCATGAATAACACACCTTTTACTGACATCATATGTATGGAAACTTATTTGGGAAATTTACTGGTTGTGGTTCTTCATCAGTAGTATGGAAATAAAGAAATATGATCACTATTCTTTTTTGGCTTGTTATAGAACAAGTAAAGATGTCGATATTACAGATATCATGGATGTCGATAACATGCGAAATAAATCACGATATTGACAAAATTTAATACGATTGCAAGATTTTTTCGACAAAAAACTATCGAAATTTTGCACACAGAAATATTTGTCGATTTTATTATTTTGATAAAAACTAAAAAATCTATATTGCAAGGTTAAAAGTTGTATTTTTAATAATGTTGTATTAAAACCATCGTTTATAACAATCTTAGAACAATATTTTTTATAAAATTACTTTTACATCGCTTTTCCTACTTATGGCTAAATAGACCCACTATATCGACATAATTATTGGATCCAACTGATCTTAGATTCGCCAGAAAAAAAATGAGCTGTGTCTGTTGCTTGAAGGAATGATTCAGGTGTAAACAGGTGATTTTGACAGCTAAATGTCAATGTACCTTTATATACTAGTAAATAACGCATAGCGGAGACGGTGATACAATGTAGAGCAGATTGTTACCCAGAGCCGAGATTGACAATGTTTTTTCGAGGGGTACCAATCTGCTCTATAACCCTCTCAGCTATGTGTTATTTAATTTACTATACTGAATGTTCTATCAATGTGTCTTTAACTGTTTAACCCTCTTGCTGCCAAAGGGATATTTATGGCTTCTACACACAAAACTTGTTTTTTTGTGTAGAACGTCAATGGTCCATGGTAACGTCACAATACAGAGGGGCACTGACAACGTCAAAAGACTGCGCCAAAAGGGCGATTGTTGCGGGAATGAAGCAAACTGAATTAAATACATTATTGTTATACTTAAAACGGATGTCGACAAATGATTCAGGATCATAAGCTTGTTAGTACTATAATACCAACTTATTTAACGTGTTTACTAATTATGTAGTTCGTCATTTTCATGCAAAATGTCGCATACTTTCGAAAAATTTGTTTAAAGTTTTTTCCATATATCTTTTAATCAGAATATCTTAATTAATAATCGCATTCCTAATAAACAATCACAGAAAAGGTAACTGTTATACTTGATTACGCGAAATATCAATATTCACAATACACGCTTTATTTAGGAGAACTGAAAAATATTTGTTGGGCTCAAATGCCGCGATTGACTTCTTTTATTATTTTTTGTAAAGGTACACAAATGTAACACGATATACTTGTATAGCGATATGATATTTCAATACATTTTATGCCAGCAATAATATAAAAATATTTATTTTCATTCGAAATGGGGATATTAAATTAGTACGTGACCCAATGATTTCTCTTCCTATCCAACATATCATCCTTTCCCAGTGGCAATCTCAATTTTCAGCCATTCATCTCAGATCTTTTACTTTGTAGGACCTACTGAGCAACAGATTTATTGTTCATTAAATCTCAATCGTCCTTAATATTGCATGAAATACCTGCCACTGAACGTTGAGCAAACAACAATTTATCAATCAACGAATTTTAAAAGATATTTCATGTATGCCAATTACAATGTGTATTTCATCATAGAAAATGAATATAAAAACATGATATTTTCAAGTCATCAATAATGATTGATTCAGGTTCACATGTAGACAATAGAAATTAATTTTAGAATTTCTTCCCTCGTTTTTTTTCTGTTTTTCAAATTCATATTTCAAACATTTCTCTAAAATTTTGTGCAATAAGTGGTCAACAAAATATTAATAAACATGATTAAGAAATAACAAAAATGAATATGGATAACAACGTTTAAAAATTCTTTCCTCGCCTACCGAAACAATGCTTGGAATGAAAAATTTAATTTGACACATATAATACTTTACAACACGAAGTAGTTCATAGAATCGGCTGCTCGGAGTTTTTTTTTAATTTTTATTTGTACATGCATTGTTTTTATTTTTATTTTTATTTGGGGCCGTTGTTTTGTTTATATAATTATTTGAGAGATTCTTTATGGTATTTATCAATTATAATAAGGTTTACTAAGCTAATCGGATAACAAGGATAAGTATTTTCTAGTATTTCAGACGTGGTTCAGAGAATCAGTTATGCATTTCACTTGACAAAGATAAAACAAAAGCTCTTGAAAGATTATTATCAATGAGTATATTATCTTCATTTTTTTAAAGATAAGAAATTAAAAAAAAAATCTATATTGCAAGGTTAAAAGTTATATTTTTAATAATGTTGTATTAAAACCATCGTTTATAACAATCTTAGAACAATAATTTTTATAAAATTACTTTTACATCGCTTTTCCTACTTATGGCTAAATAGACGCGGGAAAAATAATGGACGGCGGGAATGCGCTGTTCTACAGAGAGGCACAAGTTTTGCAACGTCACAAATATGAAACGTCAAGATGCTTTTGGCGCAACAAAGCAAGAAATAAACTCGGCAGCACAAGGTTAATTTCAAATTGAAAGTAGTAATTATGACGTAACGTACATAACAACGTTACAGTTATTAGAAAAAGAACAGAAGTGGGGAAATATATTTTTTATTTTGATAGTTTATGAAATGTTATGAAAGAGTTGTGAGGCCAAAACGTAAAACTTGAGCGTTGTTTTTAATTTATTGATGTACATTCTATTCACTGGCCTTTAAATTATCGATTTTTGGTTGGTCTGCACAAGAGGGTGACATTTAAGGGCATACGGCATTCGGCTGTTTTCTGCTCTTTGGTCGGGTTGTTGTCTCTTTGACACATTCCCTATTTCCATTCTCAATTTTATACGATACAGTTACAGGGGATGTAATGACGTTGCCAACGTAAAAATTTTGTCACGACGTCAAACTGTGACATATCGGGAAAATATCCAGACCAACGGTATTTTGACGTAACGTAATAATGAACAAAACGTCACAATGCTCTAGTGCGGGATTTGGAAGATGACCGGCGTCAACTCTAATCCAACTCCGTGATTTTGAGTTTTGCCGCCAGAAGATGGGGAAGAACCACAAATTGATATTAACCTTTTTTCTGCCATACGGCCTATCCGGCCTATTCAAAAACACTACCTTTGAGTGCCACGGCATAGGCCCAAAGGCCAACGGTATTTTGACGTTACGTAATAATAAACAATACGTCATAATGCTAGATTGCGGGATTTGGAAGATGGCCGGCGTAACTCTATTCCAACTCCGTGGTTTTGGGTTTTGCAACCAGAAAATGAAGAAGAACCATAATTAAATATCAACCAGAGAGGACCAATAAGAATGCTAGATATACACTCGTTGCCAATAGTTTATTTTTATTTACTGTTCTCTTTAGATATGATGAAAGTATTTACGCGACGAACAAACATGTTGCAACTTTGTTCTAATATCACTTATGTTCATCATTAAATAGACT